ATTCCAGAACGGGCCCTTTATAAAATACTTTATATTTAAAAACTTTGTATTTACATCAGGAGCAGGTCCTCTCTACGGAGGCCACCTTTTTTTTTTTTTACAGTTGTCCAAATTGGACAAACCAAACCTGAAGACTACCACAGGTTCTCTTTCATGCTTGGAAGAGGAGGGTGAGCTACTGCACCACTAGATGTCACTGAATACTACACACTGAACCTTTAAACTCATGTTAAGGGACAGTCTACTAGTAAAACAGTGACTCCCATTGGAGTGAAATGTGTTAGAAAGCAGTGATGAGAGGCCTGACAGCTGAGTGGCTGTGTGATAACATCATGAAATGCTGCTGCTGCTGCTGCTGCTGCTGCTGCTGCTGCTGCTGATGATGATGATGATGATGATGACAGTATAGTAGAAGTAGGCCAGGGTTCATTCATCCATGTGGCACAAACAATGTTTGGATTGTGTCTGAGGGCGTGGTTTCATCTGTAGGTTCAGATCAGGGTTTTTCATAGATCGTGTCACATTGGGATCTCACAAACCCTGATCAGCTGACCTCATGATGCATGACATCGCCATCGAAACGGTGGATGCAGACATACAGAGATAAATACTCACACACTGGAGACCGATCCACACAGTGGAGACCAATACCAGCAGGGTGTGAGGTGCGGTTAAGTATCCGGACAGACAGGCAGGATAAACGGGCAGATGATGGTCGTTCCCCTCCAGGATGAGCAGGTAGACACGGGCTCGGTGTGTGTGTGCAGGCCGGGCAGCAGCGCTCACACGCCGGCTGGTTCCTCCTCGCAGCTCCGGATGATCAAGGTCACCTTAGTTTGGTTTCAGTCGCTCCTGACCCGGTCCACTCCTGCCTCCCTGCAGCCATCTCCCCCTGACTCTCTCCTCTGTCTCCCCTCACCACCGTCAAGCTGCAGGAACGGAGGGCAACACGACATCCGGCTGCTGCTTTCACAATAAAATACCTCTTTGACATTCTTCTCAGACAAAAGAAGTAAATGTGGGAATTTAAAGGTTTGGGCCGTGCAAGATTACAACGTTTCTTTTTTAAAGCGTAGCCACATAGGCCTGAAAATATTTTTATGGAGGATTATCCAGAAAATACAACACACAAGACTGTTTTAAAGACTTGAACCAAAATGTTTTTTTGATTGATATTGGATTAAACTTTTGATTTTATAGTTTAGTTCATGTCCCCTCTGCTAACAAGGAGAATGTAAGTGGAAATCATAATGCTTTGACTTCAATAACTATATTATTTCAGGAGCAGGCATGTCGTTCATCTTTACAAACAATCCATGGTCATAAATAATAGAATAAGAGCTCAACTCTCTACACACAACAATATATAAAATGTGCAATAATCTCTTTTTTCTTTGCGTATTGCTATGTTTATTTTCTATGGTCACCTCAAAAGTTAATTCTTGTTTTTATTTTTCTAATTGGTTTTATTTTTAAGGAAGCGCTTCATATCTTTCTGTATCCTGGGTAGCTCTCAGCAACTTGACAGATTTTCTGCTCCCTGCTGCCACCCAGACACTCAGACCAGGACCCACCCGATGTGGACCAAGACCATTGACGTCACGAGCACCCACAACAGGAAGGGGTCAGGCGAAGAGGCTTGTGGGCCATGATTTATATTTCCGTTTATATCACATTTTATTTATTTGAAAGGGAAAGAAGAAGCAAACTTGCCTCCAAATCATCCCAAATAAATAATGAATCGTGTCTAATTAGGGCAAAATGTTTCCCCATTAAAGTGAACTTTTACTTTTTGTAATTACATATATATTAATAAAATATACCGTTTTTTGGCAACATATACAAACAATTTGATTTTATAGAATGTATAGGACATCTTCTCAGTATTTGAAATCAGACATGTTTCTGATTGCATACTGACCAAACAGAAACCAGACTCCCATGAACCCGCAGTGATTCTCTTGGCTGAAGAGCTGGGCTGAAGAGAGAGGAGCCATTGTTCTCCAGAGAATAAATAGACAGGACTCAGTATCTGTCTAACTCCTTTCCTCCACCGCCTAAAAATGTTGTCACCGGCTACATTCAGATTTTCAAAGTGCAAATAAGCCTTAAGAGAGTTCTAACACCAACAATTAAATCAAACACTGCTTTTGTAGAATAAGGTCTGTGACTGTGTTGTCATGGAGAGCTTGAAGTGACCTCATGCTAATTTGGTTTCATTCTTGTGTTTTCTGTTGGTCGTGGTTGTCTATGTATTTATAACCTGTGATCCTGTTATCAAACCAAAATCAGCCCTGTGTTCCAGTGCTTCATGCTACCCAATGCATTACTCTATACATTATTAACATATGTTATAATCACAATAAATTATGTTGGGACCTGGTATCTGTGAGCCATAGTGGGGCCTACATATAGCCAAAAGGCTGACCACATGTCTCTGTTGCTCTGAAGACATAGGAGAGCTTCCAAAACTGTCCCTGGAGATTCTCTGCACTCTGCTGAGGCAGCGGGAGCTGGCAATGTCTTCCAGGGGGGGCAGAGGGGAGCCAGTGATCCTCTCTGCTCCTGCTCACCCAGCCAGGGAGACTTTCTCCCTACCCAAGCTCTTCAACTTCAAGCAGGCCTGCCTGTAGCAGACTGCTAAAACCTTCCAATGGCAGCGACGCAAGAGCCTGCCTAAAAACTTCAGCACAATTGGCCACGACACAAGGTCTGACCAGCAAATGCACAACAGGAGCCAGAAACCAACAAGATCACTTCACTGGACTTCAAACAGCAAATCCAAAAAGGGCCTTTCCCCCTTTTTCATGGACAGGTAATACAACTGGGCTTTATTATTACGCGAGACTAAGCAAAGAACTGTTTAATTCTATTTCTATTTCAGGTGATGTTTATAAGATTGACTTATATGCTGTATGTATGTTATGCTATTCATTTTCTCTGCATGCGTCTAACTACTTTCTTTAACTTGGAACCAACACCTCACACACTCATCTCCACAAACTTAATACATACATGTGATCTCAGCCACATGGTCCCACCACTCCAGGGGGCCATCAGCCATGTTGAATCTCAGTCACTCACTCACAAACTCACACACACACAGACACATGCATACTTGCATACACATCTGCACATCTGTATATATTAAGTACACTTTTGGTTAGTTTGTGTGTTTATACTTTTATTATTTTCATAATAAAGGTTTTTCTTTAAAACACATCTTATTAATGTTGCATAAGTGTGAATTTTGCCGACCTCTACACTGTCAAGAACTCCAAATCCTCCAACTTTGCTAGCTATTGATGTGGTAATTTTGGTTAGTTAATAATATTGAATGTTTTTCTGATAGCCAAATTTATTGAATGCCCAAAAGCACACACTTAAATGGTGCCACGTTTAATGAGTACATAATCACAACAGTGATTAAGTGCAAGACTTTGTTTTCCTGGTTCTAATAAAGAGCCGGAGGAAACGTCTCAGCAAAGACGGTTTCTTTGATTTGCTCTCTAGCACAACATTAAATGGTGCCACGTTTAATGTACTATAATCACAACAATTCATTAATCAAGTATTATTATTGTTGTAACTATTATTATTATTATTGTAGCCCTTATGATGGCAAAAAAATGCATATCAAACGAAGTCCAGCAGTTACTTCTAAACAGGGGCCACAGTCTACATAATAATAATCATCATCATCGTAATATGTTTTTGTAGAACTTTTAACAATGCTCAAAGACACTTGTTAAAACCGGAGAAAGGTAAATAGTCTTAGTAGAAATAATAAAAGCAAATAAGTCGAGATATGAAACACATATTCAGCAGCAGAAGTAGATGAATGTGACTCCTCACTGGTTATTATAAAATACATAATTGTTTGAATATGCAGTAAAAACAGTACAAACACATGGTGACCTCATGTGTTGAGCTTCGCTGACAGGCAGACAGACAGCAGACGGACTGAGGTCGGGGGTGAGAGGGCTCATCTAGTCCACTGTTCCGACAGCAGATGTCAGCAGAGAGCTAATGTGGATACAATGAGCTTTTGTTGCACATATACAGGCATGTTTTTGTCTGTGTTGTATATAAATACAGAACCCGTTACTCTGAATGTGCAGGAGCGGGTAATGCACAGATCAAGTCAAACACACAGCACGTTAAACGCAGTAGGATCAGTGCAGCGCGTCAGTGGAGAGGTGGGATTCTTGCACTGGAGCGTCTTTTTTTTATGTGATTTTGTAATGATGCTTTGATCCTGCCTACAAAGTGACGGATACATTACATCCATACGTGCACCACAGCTGCCCCCAATGTGCGTGCGTCTCTCTGCATCCAGGGCATGAAAACAAACACAGGACTACAGGCTGTACATTTACGCACGCCTTTTTCTATTTATAAATCTTTAGTTTTCAATGCATGAAGCTGACGCGTTTACTTTTCCCTTTTCCACATGATGTTTGGAATCTATATTCTGCATTTCAACTAAATGTTGTTGATGTTTTCAGGTCATTTCAGGACTGTTGATGGTGGCACACTGCAGATGGACTGACCACAGCACCATATGGGACTTGATTCACCTTGTTTACCTCCTGAGGAACAAACCAGCCTCTGTGATTTATTGTGTTCGGGGTCTTTACGCGCAACCATCGCGTCCTTCCACCCACTATAGAAGACCCACTCTCCATATTGGCCCACATTCCCCCCTTTTGCGATGAATTTCGACCAGATCCTCTCTGCCATCGGAGGCTTTGGCAGATATCAGAAGATTCTGTACGTATGGATTTGTTTACCCCAGATTCTCCTCGCCTTTCACATGATGGTGAGCATCTTCACAGGAGCCACGCCGCCGCACCGCTGTCGAGGCTTCAACTCGAGTTCAGTGGCCGCAGATCGGTCCTCGGTCCCGGGGAGCGTGAACTTCAGTCTCCTGTACTCCCCCTGCTCCTCCACTGGCGTCCCGCTGCAAGACAACCGGACGGAGCGCGTTCCGTGTGGCCGAGGATGGGTGTACAGCCAGGACACTTTCCAGAGCACCACGGTCACAGAGGTACATGGGAAAATTGAAATGATGTTGAAATCTTTTGTGAACTGCCACTTTAGCTATTTAGAAAGTCACTTTCCTGCTTAGACACAGGTGGAATAGTTCTACTCCACAAAATAAGGGGAGCACGAGTCTTTCTTATAATAAAACCTATACAGGATGGATAATTGAAGTGATATCAGCAATAATAATAACTATGTTCGTAGTAATTAAAGTGTTATTTGTGTACCATGTGTAAACCAATGGAAAAATCGAATCTTTACCCACATGTTACCACAAGATATAAAGTGTTTTTATCCTGGTGATGTGCTGACAGATACATTTTGTACCACACATGGCCAGATTAACTCACCAGTGGGCCAAATAGGAGCTGGACCCCCATTGATTTCCGCCTATTCTGTACGAAATGTGCAAAAAGCACACCTATATGTGTGTGATGTGGTAACCATAATAGTCACTGCTGAGTTTTCCATCTTCTAGTGGGACCTGGTGTGCGACAAAGCTGGACTGAACAGCCTGGGCTCGTCCATCTACATGTTTGGCCTGTTGGTGGGGTCTGTGTTATTTGGAGCCATGGCTGACAGGTAGGCCCCGCTGCTCTGCTCTGCATGAGCCTGCAGCCCTGTAACCTCTGACTTTGTACAGACACAACAATACACAGTCAGATCCCTGACATCAGAGCATGCAGGTGTACACACGCGTACACACACACAGCCGTCATCCTGGGTGTGTGGTGTGTCTAATAGGGGCAGTTGATTCATACTGATTATACTGATTGAGTTGAAGGGATGAAGATGCACATGAGGGTTTTACAACTGCTCCACTTAAACTCGATTAATCAATGTGTCGAAAACCAGAGTCAATAAAAAGCTTTTTCTTTGGAGTAAATCACACAATTCTCAATCAGCTTCAAGCTGTTCATGATAAAGCTGAATTATAAAATATGTATTGAGGTACTTTATCATGCAGCTTAAAAAACAATTAGAAGAAAGCAAATTAAAACATTGGAAGAAAATCCAACCAACCATCCAACCAACCTACAGACAAACCAACCAGTCAATCAAAACCCCTCTGCTCCCACCCCACCCCACCCCACCCCCTCTCTGGTGAAACTATCTCAGAGATCTCATAAAATATTAATGGTAAACTTAAACTCTCTATGGAGCAACACTGAAGGTTTTTTGGCAGTTTTCACACTCAGGTCTCACCCTATCACAGCCACTGATTCACTCATGCACATCGAAGGCATAGTTATAACCAGCTCTTCTCCTTCTGCTCCAGGTACGGCCGACGTTTCGTCCTGCTGCTGTCCATCGCTCTTCAGACTGTGTTTGGAGTCGCTGTTGCCTTCGCACCCAATTTCCTCGTCTATATGATTCTGCGCTTCTTGGTTGGCGCCACGATATCTGGAGTCATCATCAATGCTTTTGTACTTGGTATGACCCAAACACACAAACACAAACATCAAGAAGACTGCTGCAGTGGCACTAATGGTTTTGAAAGCATTATGACACATTTCACCAACTGTACTGGATGGGTTTCCATGGAATGGAAGGCAGACTACATTGCAGGGAGTTTGGATTCCTCGCATACTGGACTATGGAAACTGGTTGATAGATAGATCCCAGGAGAAAGAGAAATTAAGAATAAAATTAGTCTTTGTCTTGCCTCTTTCTCGTAGACATAAATTAGCTCTGGTTAAGTTCAATAGGACATTTTCCTCATCTACCTACTAATTCCACAAATGTCTGTCTGTGGAAAACGTGTCTCCCAAGCTGTTCATCTTCACGGCTTCACACTTGGCATGAGTATTCTTAGTGTCCCAGGCAAGTGCAGTGTCAAATTGGGTGTGATCTAGACAAGCTATACGATACGTTCAATTTCAATAAACAGATCACCTTTGCAGTCAGTGGGGGCGGGGCAGTGTGCCTTCAGTCTGTGGATCAAGTTCGTCTCTGTCCTCGGATAACCTAGTGCAGCGGTTACTAGGTGAAACCAAGGGTCAAAATAGACGTCAGATCTGTTGATAATTTGTGTTGTACTTCAATATTTCTGACTAAGTGGGTGCTGATCTCCATCAGTGCAACAACATTCATAGAATCACTTCCTTTTTAGCAGTTTCTCTACAAAGTAAGAGCTTTATATCAAACGGAACCACAGAGCTTTTGTTTAGAAAAGTTGTGAACTTGTGTCTGAAGATTCTGTTGACTGCTTAACGAACTCCAGAAATAATCGACATGCATGGTATCAAAAAAAATTCCACTAGTTACATCAGTATAATTTTTATGAAAAACATTGACTAGCTGACCAGGTAGGATGAACAACAAGTTTTCTATCTTTACTCTGCAAGACTGTTTATGAAAAACTCTGCACACAATATCCAGACAATGAGCACACCAGAAGAAATTCTGGTCAGGATCATCTCTGTTGGATGTATCTAGTCTACAGCTCCTCTTTTCACTTAAGGGTCTGAGGGCAGACAAATCAGAATTTAGACATCTTCAAATAAGATTATTTATTTCTCATGAGACAAAGAAAAGACAGTTGTTTCCCCTGGGAAGTTTAGTAACAGGTGCAAATGTTCAGATTCATTCAAAAGAACCAGTGGATGAATAAATCCATCTTATCAGAAAGGGTTCTTCAAATGTAATAATGTGTCATGCTGTTTTGTGCCACCTCCTGTCCAAACCCAGAGCACGAACCCCGCCCTTTACCTTGAAGATCCAAAACACCAATACCCATGATTCCTCCCCTCCCCTCTCCCCCTCCTCCTCCTCCTCCTCCTCCTCCTCCTCCTCCTCCTCCTCCTCCTCCTCCTCCTCCTCCTCCTCCTCCCCCTCAGGCACTGAGTGGACTTGCACTAAGAGACGCATGCTGGCCGGTATCATCACGGATTATGCTTTCGGCCTGGGCTACATGCTGCTAGCAGGCGTGGCATATCTCATCCGAGACTGGAGAAAGCTGCAGCTGGCTATATCAGCTCCAGGCTTCCTCCTCATCTTCTACATATGGTGGGAGATTCAACATTACATCCTTTGTGTATTCATACACGCCAAGCACATGAATAACCTTTTTGTGATCCTAATCTACTCCTAAACTCTTATTTCTATCTCTCCTCTATCCTCTCCTGTCTCTTTTCTCCTGTCAGGGTGGTCCCTCACTCTGCCAGATGGTTGTTGGCCAACGACAGGAGAGAGGAAGCCATCGCACTCCTCCGCAAGGCAGCGCTTGTTAATGGTCGAGTTTTACCCCCAGCCACACAGGTAAAACTGTGTATTTTCCCCCCACACTCTCAAGCTATAGAAGCCGTTAAAGTGTTTTTTGTGTCCAACTATCACTGATGTCCTTCTGGTTGGCCCCTGATGTGCCCCTGTCCTGTAGTCTTGAACAAGCAACAATTTTCTAAATATATTCAATGATGTGTAGCTTTGCTTAAAGCTGTAGAGCAAACAGTAAACAAGGAATTAGGCTACATCCATACTGCTTTAATGTGAAAACACCATTTTCAAATAAAAATTATCTCTATTCACACAAGCATTTCAGCTTGGCTATCACTTCTAATCCCTCTCTATACTAACATATCTGCAGACGCATATCACAAGACCACTTAAGTAAACAGGACAGCATGCCTGTATGTGAGTGGTGAATGTTAGTTTCTAAACTTAGTTGTATGGATGTAGCCTTAAATGTGCACCTTATTTAATAAGGAATTGTACATTGAAGTTAGATGTATAATTTTCCCCTTCGTGTTAATTCGCCCCTTAATGGATTTAGAAAAATTCTAGATCCACCACTGGATAGTTAAATGTACTTATTTTATAGTCAAATAGCCTGTGTTTGTCATGGCAAGCTATCTCTCAGTGTATGGAAAAGTTTATTTGCAGGTATTGAGTATTTTTGGAGAAGAATAGAACTCTAACAGAGGAATAAGATAACTCAGAAATACACTAGTAGGATCAGGTAATTGTCAGTTTAAATGATAAAGAGCGTTATATTTTCTTAGTTTCTATGTCTGTCTGTATGTGTGTGTGTGTGTGTGTGTGTGTGTGTGTGTGTGTGTGTGTGTGTGTGTGTATGTGCATAAGGTTGAAAAGTGTGAGATTATAGGTGGAAGGACGCAAAGTTACTCAGCGGTGGATCTTGTTCGGACCCCTCAGATGAGGAAGAGAGCTCTCATCTTGTTCTACATCTGGTAAATCTTGTGTTTCATGAAGTTGCTATTCCTGTCTTCTTTCTCTTTCTTTTCTTCAATTAATGTTTTTTGCCCTTTCCCCTCTTTTGCAATCCCCAGGTTTGTGAATGTGCTGGTTTACTATGGGCTTTCTCTGGGCGTGTCCAGGTTAGGGACTGATCTCTATCTGAACCAGTTTGTGTTCGGGTTGGTTGAGATTCCGGCTCGCACTCTGGTCCTGCTCGTCCTGCCCCGCAGCCGCCGACTCTCCCAAACAGGCTTCCTGGCTATTGGAGGCCTCGCCTGTCTGCTAATGCTCACCGTCCCTGAAGGTCAGACGGACGCTGGGAATTAGCATTCATACAGTTCTCTGACAGGAATGTAAACAACTTTCATCACTGGGATACTTTCTTTGTCTTTCCTCACCTTCCCCCCGTGTTTCTAGGTCAGCCCAATGTCGTGACTGGTCTCGCCATGTTGGGGAAGTTTGGTATAACTGCTTCCTTTGCTGTCATTTACGTGTACACTGCTGAGATATTCCCCACTGTGATACGGTAAGACACCAATGTGTGTCTGTGCATCTTCATGACTTTTCTCAAACACACATCATCATTATTTACACTATTGTTATCTCTGTTGGGTTAATTCAATACAAACAGCTCTGTCTAAATTCAGGGGTTGCATCCTTGGGAGAACGCAGTCTACCTGGCCCACAAAGATTGCCTTCTTCGTGGGCCTCGTAGACAATTAGGCCAAAGCAAAAGTCTAGTCTAGGATTTTCGAAATCAGTGACACCAGCTTGTCTTGCCCTCACTGCTGTTGTCTATCAACAGAGCTGAAATTGAACACAAGAAAGATTTAACGTCCCTTGTTTTTTTTAACATGTGTTAAAAAACCTTTAAGCGTCTTTGAAAAAACGTTTGTCACTGCAGGGCAATGAATCCTGGGATAGTTTGGCCCAGGAAAGGATCCACCGATTGTAGTCTTCTTCTCTCAAGGATGGAAGGACTCATTTGTCAGCCTCATGTTGAGGAGCCTTCAAAGTGGGGCAGTCTTGTCTTGCTGTTGTGATGCAATCGGTCTTCAAATGCAGGCTCTGAAGGATGCGACCCCTGAATTAACCCACGGCTAATATCGTTTTCTTGTGTCCCCATAGGCAAACCGGAATAGGTGTCTCCTGCATGTTTGCCAGGATTGGTGGTGTGTTAGCACCCATCATCAACATGCTTGATACCCACAACTCCACAATACCTCTGGTTATCTTCGGTATCTCCCCGCTGCTGGGTGCCGTCCTGGCCCTGGCGCTGCCAGAAACTGCCAACAGACCTCTTCCTGACACGGTGGAGGACGTAGAGAACTGGGACATGATGAGGTAAAAGGTGACCTCTGTTTACCTTCCTGAAAAAAGTAAAGTTGCGGTGAAGAGTTAGTGGTGAATTTCCTTGTATTTGGATTCTCACAAAAGAACAAACTTGTAAGCAGACTAAATACAAGGAGTGCAGTGTGAAAATCACTGAGCTAAAAGTAACACTGAGTGATTTTCTTCATTCTTTTAACACTTTGACTTGCTGCTCATCAGGTGTTGAAGTGTTATCACAGTTCAGGCTTATTCTCAGTCAGATGTTAGCTTTTTCCAACTTTAAGTTAAAAATACACACAATCCACTTTTTACAACATTTAAAAATATTGCTTCCATGTCTCTTTCCTCCATATTTACAAACAGCTTTACTTTCATCCACTCACATATCCAAACTCTACAACTGACCCCACCTTAACACACCCCCGTCCCTTCATTGTCTCAATTCATTTATATTATTATCCAGGGAAAGTTTTTTTATACAACCCTTAGTGACCCAATGTTAACAATAGGAAAAAATAAGAAAAGAAAAAAAAGCAGAACAAACAGGTAAAACAAACAACACACACACACCAAATGTACTATTAAAACCATAGCACAGACTTTAGGGGCCGCATTAACCCTACAAACCATCTGAAAGTGGTTTGCAATACAGGTTGAAAGTTCTGAGAGCTTTTAGTGTGCGTTGCTTCTCAGCCCCCATGACCATGAACTTTTATCACCCAGTCTGCTCCCATGAGAAAAACCCTCCTCAGCTCAGGCATCGTGTGCTTTGTGTGTCACCTCCTGCAGGTCGCTTCCCGCCAAGGACAACCCTGAGAAGTGTGAGTCTGTCAGCCAATCAGCCAGCAGCACAGAGGAGCGGGAGCTGCAGCATCTAGCGAGCCAGATCTGACCTGTCTGTTTAAACTGATGCCATTATTCACAAATGAATACAGCCTTTGACAGCTGATACACTTCACACTTCTTCAAACATCCTCTATGCAATAACATGTCAGGGACTGAAGAAACGCTCTATGCAAGAAACTCAAACACATTTCATTTACCAAACTAGTATGCACGTGCAGTTGCAGGCGTATGTGCAGAAAGCAGGCATTGTTCTGCCGAGGCAAATCAACAGCCGACCGTCACCAATCCTTAGTCAGGAATAGTCCTGTTTCAGTCTAGTTTATTCCTCATACCTCAGAAATCAACACTTGAAATATATTCTTGAGAATTATTTTGAATTAAGAAGAATCAGTGTGATGATAAAAAATTACCACATGGACATGAAATCCAGTTAAATTTCAGGGCTGATGATTTAATTACGCTATGATTTGGGCATTTCATGAAAGCACTTTCATATTTTGTACAGAAATGTATGTGGACCGTTTGTGGTACCTTTATACTTGAACTAGCGACTGACTCATTTTCCACTCATTTCAAGACAAGTGGAATACGACTGGTCATGCAATCATACCTTCACTACGCCTTTTTTTTTTAGAGTACAGTAGCTCATTTGTTTTGTTTTGTATGAAAACTGTGATGTGACCAGTAGGTGAAGGGATATTTGTGTCATTTTGTGGAGGTTTCCTCTTCTCATGTAAAATTACTTGCTATAATGACTTGGATCTGTGGATTATCTAGTGTATTTTTAAAGTGTTTAAGGGCTGTTTTTGTAAATATGTTACATGTGTGATACATGAAGAAAAAACACCAGCATGGGTCAGAAGCACAGGTCATGTAGTATCTAATGTTTCTCAGGAAAGGTTTTTTTTATTCGTCTATAACTATCAATACCTAAAACTAAAGAAACTCACAGTTATTATGATTTGACAAGTGTGTGTGAAGGGGGATACGCTTGTATTTCACTGCATGAATTTAGAGAGCATGCCTTACTGCCATCCACAGCATGTGGGATTGTTAGATTAACCAGATATGTCACTCAGACCAGCAAATGGCTTCTCCAGTTTTAATTTTTATTGGATTGATTTCTGCCTGATGCATTAGCAACAATGTAAATTATAAAACAATTATGAACAACAAATGCAACTTTGTGATTGAAATGTACTTTGTACAGCTAAAATGAAGGCACTGTTCACATGTGCTGCCTGCAATAAACTTGTCAAAAACCAATGTTTAACAAAGTGAACTGTGTGTCTTTGTGCAAACTCTTGTGTTTCAGTTCACTCAGTTCAGACTTGGTGTTAACATCTGAGAGATACGATCACAAGAGGAGAGGGTTAAGTACGTGTGTTCACACCTGGCATTAAAATTTGAGAGAGTGAGACAGAGCAATTAAAGAAGCATCAATCATTATGTGGCAATGGGTGAAAACAAATCATTGTATAGACAGAGTGAAGTGTAAAAACACTTATGATTCATTGTGAAACTGAAGCTGGTCAGAGACGTCAGAGGACTTGGCAGTTCTTAATATGGGGCCCAGGATGGATTCGTCTTGAGTGATTGGATCTCAGGACATATTTGGGTGCGTTGAAACCTGAACTTATAGCTGACCACTTATGATCAGATCACTCAGGACAGATGTTAAAACCAAAAAACTTAAGGGGGTCTCCATCACCATTCAACATCAACATTTCACACGTTATCAAGCAGCTCAATCTGATGGAATAATGATATCAGCATGTCCAAATTAGATGTCAATCATCCCCAGGCACTCAAATAGTGGCTTTAACACACAGATTAATGCAGAGAGGACAAATCTAAGCCAAAGTTACATATGTAGCATCAGTGGTGACACCACAGTTGTTATCCTTCATAGACATGAGGATGTAGCCGTCATTGCCCCAGTATGTTGACCATGAGTTCTTTATTAACCAGTAGGGCTCATCGTTCAGAGTCCCATAACCCACTGCAAGCACAGCATGGTCCAGATCATCAGTAGTATTACCTGAAAAACAACAGAGGGGCTGAGTTGCAGAGAGAGAAAGACAATGGTAATAAAAAAGTCTGAGAAACGGTGAGAGGTTAATTCACCACAAGCAGGTTCGTAGTAGACGCCATGGCTGTAGAAAACAAATGATCGATGTGCTGCGTCAATACTAACAGCCACTGGCCCGTTTTTATAGAGGGCCAGCTTAAGGGCCTCAGCATCCCCTGATGTCACGTTGGTGTAGCTCTTGATCTTAGCAGTAAGCTGTGAGGAGTTCAGGTGACAAAATCCATTCTGTTCAGAGAGAAAAACAACATTTTAAACATAGAACCAACTAAAGTTACTCACATAACACAGAGGCTGTTTAGGGCTTGTGTGTTTACTCACTAAAACTGAAGATAAAGGTGGTATTTAAACCATAACATTACTTTCACAGGCATGTTTTGGTGCTGGGAAAATGCTCCCATGAAAACCAAAATGTAAAAAAGGCACCACTTAATTTCTTGATTACATGCATTGTGCGTTCATGTGGTGTCGGAATAATCAGAATAATGAATTCCCGACTGAACATGAATGCCATAATTTAGTCAGAAATACTCAGAAAGTGGGCGAAAATCGTGGTACTGAACATGCTGCACCTATAAACCACTTTACATGATTTTATAATCAGCTCTAAATAGCAGCACCTCTCAAAAGCGACAGCACCACTTATAAGCCAATAAGGATATTTTCATGATAAACATGCACATGTTTTAAATGATTTATAAGACTGTCCTTTTTCTTTGCACTTTATTATTATGCAAATACTGTTAAGGTGTTTAAACGCAAACACAAATACAAGATATTATATTTACAGCACACACAATTGTTCCAGATTCTTACTACAAAACTAACCAAAGTCAGCTTCACATCTGTGGAAATGGGACCTTCTGAGGAGCATGTGAATGCACAGATAATTGTGGAATTTCAAGAAAATATTCCTCATGGTTAAAGTTCTGTTCTGGGGGAAAAAACTGGACTCATTTCATAGAAACTTGCAACTTGAATAGAAGCAGTTTAAATTTCTCCTCATCCAGTACAGACCATGTGGTTTATGTTACTTCACATCTTGAAGTCATCTCACCATTCCCATATAGGCTCCGTAAGTCTCTGTTGTGGCGATACCTCCGTGTTTCATGATCCACTCGTATGCTCTCCACTCCTCCCCTCCGTCACAGCCGTTATTGCCGAAACCCCAGGAACAGTCCACCAGCATCTGCTGAGAAAGAACCTGCAGGGAGCCCGTCTGAAAAACAAGAGGAAAGCACGACCATGCTCAAAAAGCGGATCATTAATCTGTCAGTGCACTGCAGGATTTAAATTCTCTGAAATACAAAAGAGATTCACCAGCTTTTTCATCTCACAGCACCACAACAGCCTCTTGTAACCTAAGATTATGGCTTCATAAATTCCTGATCTGACAAAAACAAAAAAAGGACTGAAGGAGGGAGAAAAAACTAGACTGAAGGTCATTTAGAGAATACAAAGGAGAACCAAAAACAGACAAGACAGTGAGACATACACAAAACCTTTAGATATTTAGTAAAAGTTGATCAAAATCTGATCATGAAAATCGTTACACCTGCTCTTAACTACAGGTTGCTAGGGAGACACTGAGCTCATGAAGAGGTTAATCTAACACTGGCCCCTGGGGAGCGGCTCTGTTTATGAACCGGTCTGTGGGGACCAGGGATGCTGCATCATGCAGGTCACTCTCTGCTGCTGTGAGCTGGCAAAGGCACAAAGACGAACTGCAGCTGCCTCACAACAGCACATTATCCCAGCCAAGTCAAACTGGACTTCAGACATAGAAAGGTTCAAACATCACACTCAAAGTCTGCAGCTGTCGACAACTGAACTAAAGAGTAAATGGTACGATTTGCTTGCCTCCTTTGGTGAAAAGATAAAATGCTTTGCTGCAAGTTTGGCTGAAACAACCAAATACAGCATATAATTTTAAGTAATGACCCAAATGTATTTCTCTGCAGTGGGGAAACCATATAGATACTCTACTTACCACACTTTGAATGTCTGTGAGATTGTCAAAGAATCTGGTCAATTTGATGGGGTGCTATCAAATCGCATAGTAAGCCGGTCCATTCTTTGGGATCGAGTTGCTTAGCAATACCAGAGAAGGAATGCCTTTGAGCATCGCATTCCACAGGACGGATTCAGGCTGAGGCCGACATTCACTTTAATTTAACAGTCAAGTGTGAGTGAAAGTCTCTCAATGAGTTGTCTTGTGGACCCGTCTCTGCCCTCACAGGGATATTTCACACAAACACTGAAAGATCGGCATCCTCAAAAGCATCAGATGTTCCTGAAGAATTATGATGATGGGCTTTGACCATAAATCTTTACCCAAACACAATGTTTTTTCTCCAGAACATCCTCACACAAATTTCCACTGCAATGATAATCTATGCATTTCTTCAAGTTAGTTTTTATAAAACCTACTCCAAATCCTAACTTCTTTCTTTTTTGGGTAGTACTTCTGCTGCTTTTAAAACGTCATATCCACCACATGTTTTCGATTTGTGCATTTCTATGTATCCTTTGTGTACAAAGGAAACGATGACCTCCCCCTCCACAGACATGGAGAAGAAGTGAATGAGTGTGGATGACCTTAAATTCCTAGGAGTCAATTTGTCAAGACATGAACCTCAAACACCTCACAGCATTAGGCAGGACCAGCCCAGCCCCCGCAGAAACTAATGGTCAATTTCTATAAGAGCACAATATAACACATCCTCACAAACTGCTCCACTGTGTGGTAAGAAAGCTGCACAGCTGGGATGTATCTCCCCACACTGAACACTACGTATGCTGGCCAACTGGAGATGAGGGCCAGAAGTATTTTCAGGAACCACACACACCCCAGCCACTTCCTGTTCGAACCGCTGCCATCCGTTAGATGGTTCAGGTCATACAGATCCACCACTGAAATACTGAGGAATAGTTTCTAAACTTTCTATCCTACAGCTGTGACATCCATCACACCCCAACTGCTAAACACCTACGAAAGTCAAGCGCACCTTCAGAGATGGTTGAATGCAAATATCACACACATAAAGGACTGTGACTACAACAAGCACACCCTACACCCTCAGATATGGAAAACTGAAAAGAAAGAAAACCTGCATCATTCTGCATTATTTGAATTATTTGTATTCCTTATCCTAATATACAATTTTATTTATTTGTGTGTGCATTTGTCATTGTATTATGTGTACTTGAGTAAAATGACAGTAGACCCTAAAAATAAGAGTTATTTGTATATCTTCTGCCTCAATGACCCACATCCCAACAGGAATTCAAACTGTTACACTTCATCTATCAAAAAATATCGAGAGATGCCAGCAGCTGCAATTTAACAGATGAAGCTTAATGCTGAACATCTGATGCTTCACAGACCATGTGGCAAGCTGCTTCTATTATAATGTTTCACCTTAAGGAAGAGAGCGCCCTCTACTGATCCAGTGGTGGCAAAGCTCCAGCAGGAGCCGCAGATGGCCTGGTCCTTCACTGGGGTCACAGCACCTGAGAAGAAAGAGGAGATGTAAATACTAAGAGGTCTCCTGCCAGACAGATAGCTATTTCTATAGTATTCCAGATATTTGTACACGTACCATAAAGCCTCCAGTCAATGGAGTCGGGCACTTTCACCCCTTCATAAATACTGGAGGGGAAGGGGAGACCTCTGTTTGGAGTCTTTCCTCTTCTCCTTCCTCTCATGGTGGCTAGTTCTGACATGGTGCGATCTGACAGAGAGTTCAGAGCCAGAGAGAAAGGCAGCCCAGCTCTGTTCTTGGAGTGGACAAACCTTCAGGAGCGACAAAGTAACCAGGTCATGAAAAATCCGGCAATGAAAACTTAAACCTTGTATTAAAGATGACTATGTCCTTGAGGAATGTCTACATGGACACAACTCCTCTCACCGAAGATTGTGAACAAAAGCGTGCTCCCTCTTCTCGTGTTCCCTTTCATCGCTGTACTGACGCTGAAACTTCTCCTTGAAATGGCTGAACATGCGCTGTGAGTGGCCGGAGGCCGAGGTGTGGATGAGATCTTTCATTGGATTGGCTAAAATGTGGTGCTCCACTCCTGGACCAGGAAATCCCCCACAGCTCATACCTAAAAGGGAAAAAATTTAAATGCGTTCTTTACGCTAGTACATGTACAGTTTGTAAGAACAGCAGGAGGCCACAAACCTTCAGGCAGGTGGAAGACGCTGGGGTCCACATAGGTACTGAACTCCTTGTAGTCCACCAAGTATTTATCATAGTGAGACCCCAGCAGTGTGTTGTATCCCATCATCTCATAGTGGAGAGGTGTTGCAGGCTCTTTTCCATCAGTGCCTGTCTCTGAATGGGTCACCCACAGTGTGTATGTGTTCTTCTTGTAACCCACAGTGGTCACATTCTGCCAGACTTCACACGGGGTACCTTCGTAATACTCATTCCTCAGGAACTAAATTTTTATTTGCAAGAGCACAGAGGGTGGGAGGATTTTAGTAACAGCAATACATTGAGGTTAAATTAAAATATCAAGAAATTATTCTCAATTTTGAGTCCATGGTTTGGAGTGACCAGTACATTGTACAATTTCCATCAACACTTTTTATTAAGATGCGGATGTAGTACCCCAACACCTCTAAAGGTTTGCATTAGTGCAAAGCTGTGAGACCATGGAAAAGGTTACAATGAACTTAAAAATCACTCATTAAGACTGCAGTGTAACAGAGTCTATAAAAGCTCTACTGCCACTTAACAGGAATTAACCACAATGCCTGCAGGTCAATGAGTTTACACATTAGGACTGAAGTTCAAGGTCCTATTTAGACCTGGTATAATACCATCCATCCTGAGAGATCTGATCACAATTGGGTAGAGTAGACAGTGCTTAATATGTCTTTCACACCGGGAAAAGAATGTGGCCACAAGCGTCACAGACCCCTCTGAATGTGGTTTGAGTGATCAGATCTCAAGATACAATTAACGACAAATTTGGGTGCCGTCAGACCTGAACTCAGTGCTGACCGCTTATGATCTGATCACTCAGGACGGACATTAACCAGCTCTGAACGGGGTCCAAGATCACAAATGCAGCAATTGACAAAAGCAGGAAATAGCTACACCTAAATACTAGTAGAGAGTTTTCAAGTGTGTTCTACAACTATAAAATAATCCAGGAGCTGACCTGGTATCATGCAGTGAAAACCTCTGACAGTCTTTGGGGATAAAAATCATGTTAAATTACTCTAATAACTGTGTTAGTGTTTTAATACTACACTGAAGATTTTTAATATGCATACACACCTGGAAGCCCTGCACATCAGGCAGCGATGCCTGCGGTGTGACAGTGTCGTTCTTTGTTCCATTGACCTGAAAGCACTTCATCACATTCAGTTCAGTCTCTGTGGTCTCAGGGGTGATCTTATAGGAAACGCCCAGTGGCTGCTCGGCCCCTAGCTGGTATGTCATCACTTGGCCTGGGGGCGATCAAGAGGAGTGACGTTAAAAGTTGCAAAACTATTGTCTCCTCACAGCAGCTTTCCTCACCAGTGCCTGTCCCCAAACAACAATAAACCACACTGACCAACAGCAGAGAGACTAGTTTACTACGACAAGTTTATGACTATAGAATCACATACACTCCGGGGATCAGGTGCAAGTTACTTTTAGCTTTGTTTGTCAGAAATAAACTCAAGTTATATTGTTAGGTTATCAGGGTCAGAAAGAGACTGACAAGGCTGGCACCAGCTTTATAGACTTCATGACAGTCCACCTTAATGAGCCCTGTAGCCAGCAAAACCATGAAAAACAGTTTAGAAACAAACACTTCAAAATGTGACATAAATTTGCAACATGAGTCTCGAGTTGAGTTCCCCTAAAGAGCTAATTCCTTCTTTTTCACTTCTTTGTCTATGTAGCACTAGCAAGTGATTATGATCCACTCATGCTTCTTTGGTCTGATGCAAAAAGCTCTCAGTTTCACATCACTAATTCAGCCGAGCAGAGAAAAGTACAGAGTCAGATTTCAGAGAGAAGCAGCTTTCTTACCATGATAATAGTCTATTCGGCTGGACTTTACTGCAAGATCTAACCAGGCTTCAAATGGCTCATTGATCTCGGCATAGGGCAGAGAGATCACTCCTGTAATGGAAATGTAACAGTTTAGTAATGAGGTTAAATCCTGAGAACAAGAGGCCCTGATATTATAATACTCCTGTGGTGTAGTTATACCTTTGACGTGATAGCTTTTCCCAAAGTCTGGAGGGGAAGGGACGACTTTTCCCTGAGTGGCTGAAAACACACAACACATGCTTTACATAAACTTTTAAAGGACCAACAAGCTAATGTCATGCTGCAGACTATAAATGTAACAGGGAGGATCTGCTTATTGATGATTGAGTGATTGATTGATTGATTATCCTTACACATGTTCAATAACTGAGTCCTTATACACAGAAGATAGTTATTACTATGTTGTTCACATAAAGCTGGAGCCTATATAAAGATTTCATTACATTTTAATTAATTATAGGCGACATGATATAGATTTCATATATGCCGAATTAAAAATAATAGACTATAGTACTGATTGGTACCATAAGCAGGATTCAAATGAGTGTGAATTTATAGCTATAAGCAAGTAAATGCTAAATTGACAGTAATTTGGCTTGAGTTTGGTGTGATGTGTATATAACACAACTAAGATTGAAGCAGATGAGCTTCACTTGCTCATTTTTTAAAATATTTTTTACAACAGTGCTGTACAGCCACTATATACAGTCTATGTACAGCCACCAGTATCTGAAACAAACATACAGCAACTGGGAAGACAACACTGGCATTGAGGCGACTAGCTGCTCTGCTAGCATGTCGCTAGCTTAGCTTGTTAGACGAAACGTGCTACTGTACCTGTGACAGCCCACAAAACGACTGCTGCGGTAAACCAGCCCCGCATGACTTCTGCTGTGAGCTCAGAGAACCAGGAGAAAACGCACAGTCAGATCGAAGTCAGACAAAAACCACATGACTCTGCAACCTACTGCTCTTTAAACACATTAACCAAGTTACTGACCGCCCCTCTCAGCCAATCACATCGTGGCGTGGAGGAGTGTAGGCCACTCAGAGACGAGAGGCGGGTCTTATCTGCGAGGACACCATGTGACCTGTGTCATATGACTAACCTTTAACCATCGGTTCTAGATTTAGGATAAATGTTTCCAAAAGTTACTCAATGCAAATACTACAAGTGATGAAATTCCTGCGCCTTGATTCATCTTAAAATATATGATGTTAGAGAAGGGCAAATATAAATATAGATAACATTTATAACCGTTGAAGCATAAATAAGAGGGGTTGAAATAGTAGGATTTGGAAGTATTATTTACCCAGAGAAAATATCTAATATTGATAAAGTTGCTGCTGGCGGTCAAAGGCTTGAGAGAAAAAAGCCATCTGTAGAGAAGACTATAAAAACCCATTTCAGCAAATGGAAGGAAAAAAGCATGAATGCTAAATCTAAATTATGAGAAAAGAAGTCATAATTAAATAGTATGTAAAAATGATGAGATATTAAAGGTACAGTGTGTAGAGTTTTGTGATATCTGGTGTTGAAATTGAATGTTGCAGCTGAACATCCCTCGCAATACACGTTGGAAAGTTGAATGTGCTGAAGTTTTGAGATGTGTCTGCTGGTGTCACTCCTGACTCATCATCCGAAGAGTTAAGAGGAGAGTCCAAAGTTCGGGCACTTTACAAAGGCAGGTTTGTGTGATGAAGATCCAAATAAAGAGGCTTCCACACAGTCCACTGGGCAGGTAGACAGTCAAACAGAAAATCTATAACTACAAGAGTTTATCATAAGCATTCATTTATTAGTTCCTCTAATGGGAATCAAATCACAACACAATTTGAAACTAGAAAGATGTAACTTCTCAAAGATGTAACTTCTACTTCTTGACTACTAATGAATAAGAAATTCAGACAGGATTTCACTATTCAATTAAATTTTCAAATTTTCAATTCATGATTTCAAGATGTATGGTGCAGAGGCCACAAATATGGATGGGTACATTTGCACCAATCATTTATCATTTGTATTTTTTTTTAGATAAAGTCGTTTAAAAAGGTTCCTCTGATGACTCACTCTCCTCATCCCTGTGTCCAATTATACACAGCATGAAATGAATAGACATACAAAGTTGAAACATGGCACTAGATGTCAGTGTTTGACATAATATGGACATGTTACTTCCATTATTACCAATCAGCTCTGTGAGACTTGAGTTCAGAGCTATTCTGGAACAGATATTGAAATCACAGGATGCAGAGTAATTGAAAGACGGCATGCTTTTAGAAACATGTACAGACAGTGAGAGGAAAGAAAGGACCAGTGGAGAGTGTTACAGAGTAAAAGACACTGTGCTGCACTGAACTCAGTCAGGAGATGCAGGACAATAGCTGAGCAGGCAGCAGGACATGAAAACAGTCAGTGTAGGTTCAGGACACAAAACAGCTGAAAGACAGAGATAAAGAGACATTGCAAGCAGGAAATGTAATTTCCTAATGTGCACTTTTCAGGAAACAGAATCACATCTGATGATAGAGGAATTATAAAAAGCTTTTGTAGCAGTCACCACTGAATGATTTATGTCATGGTCTGTCGTTCAGATTTCCAATATTGTGCACTTTGTTCCCAATGAAATACATACAAAATGTACATTTATGTCCTCTACCAAGGAGGATATTTGACAATTACCACGAACTTTAGTGGATGATGCAAAATTAATCCAGAAATAATTAGATCCAGATATATTGAATTTCAATGTGGTTTCATAAAATATTGTTGGGCCTTGGCAGAAGTATGCACTCTCTTCAAACCACTTATGTGGATAAGAAGTGTTTATAAGACAGCTAGACTACCCCACCCCCCGCACACAAACACACGCACAATACAAGCTTAAAGCCTGGGATATTATATGTTTACAGGGACAAATCTGCCGGAAAGAAAAAAAACACATTTGTCAAAAACTACACTGTAATATGAAGCACATGTTTATTGCTCATTTTGTGTTAAACAATGACAACAGTAACCACAAAACATTGTTCATATACAAGAATAGAGGGGTATAAATATAGAATATCTGTACTACAGGGAAGTACTTGAACATTTGTCAGAAAACAGACACAACCAAAAAAAAACATTTGCTCAGCCTCACATACGAATCACCACAGACGGTAATTTTCACTTCACACTCAAGAATACATACTCATTCACAAATATCAATGGAAGACCATTTCTATGTCTCACCAGGTTCAGTCACATGTTAGGTCTCTTTAGTTTAGTGCTCAGAGTGCAGCTCATACTTCAGTTTCTTCTTTGAGAACTATTCCTGCAAAATAAGCTCCACATCAAACCGACAGTAGGGGTTCAAAAATTAAGGAAATGATTTGGATGACTGTTTTTTTTTATCCTGTTTGATTCCTCATGTGGAAATTCGGAGCCAAAAACCAAGCATCACTCTTCATGTTAATGCAAACTGTCTCTTGGTGCTGCAGAGTGCTGGATGTTGACATCAACTTAAGTTAATAATATTAACTTTGCCACACTGTGTTAAAGAGAGGAGCAGCTGCCTCTATGATATGGACAGGAAATATGCCACAATGCTTTAATTCACAATAAGAAGGTGGTTTTCTTCACACAGAAACAGAGCTATAATGAAATCAGCTTTCTAATATGAAGCAAGGAGGTTTTTGGGTAATGTAGTTTACTGAATAACCCTGTCATAGTGGTGTGAAATACAGACCACCACTAATAGTCCTTACTCTTATTTGTTTATAATACGCTCACAATTTATTCACAGTAACACTGATATACTGTTGGTCAAATACACGACATATAGCACCATTAATGTGACACCATCTTATGAGTATTGTGATATAATTTCAGCTTAGTCTGGAGCGAACAGTCCGATCTCTCATTGCTGACAACGAGCACTTCATCCTGCCTTGTGCCTCATCTGCTGCCAAGGCGTCCGCGACCTGACACTGGGCGTGGCGAGTGTTTTAAGGGACGACAGACGCTCATCAGACGCTGTTGAGTAGCAGAATGGCAGAAGCTGAGCTGGAGGAGGCTGTTTCAGGGTTAATGTACTGGGGGTCTTGTTCGTCCCCAGAGTCTCCTTGTTTTTGTGCAACAGTCAAGGTTAGCTTGCTCAGACCGGCTTCTAGCGTGGCCTCTGCTCCCTCTGCTCTGTCACCTGGAACACACATACAGGAAGGAAGATCAGGCGCTGGTTAATACATCTACAAGCTAAACCTGGATACTTATTAAAACTCAAACATTGACCAGACAGATAAAATGATGGATCATGGTTTTTGCAAATTATAAAAAAAAATTGTGCAGTGCCTATTCTAAACCTGCCTGTTTGGAATAGGCTGTTTTGTTTGACCTGTGTTCATGCTGGTTGTAGTTTTCTTTCTTAAACTGTAAAAGTGACCTGCAGTAATTAAGTCATGTCACGATGGGCTGCTGAACCCTGAAGCTGCTCCACCGCTGCTGCACAATGAGATCTTTTTTCACCTGTTTTTTCAAAGTTCAGTGAAGCTCAACTCAGTACAAAGTACCCAAAACTGGAGAATCAATTGCTGACAATATAATTTATGCTGTTGAGTCCCAGATGACACTGGAACACAACACTGGTCGCTAGTTTATTATTTAACAGACTCTCACTCTGCAAGCTCTCTAGTACAAACTCTGTGTAACATCTGAGTGCGAAGATGTTTGGAGAATATTGTCAGGAGGACTCACGGCGAGAGATTGGTTGCAATCACTTTACTATCCTGAATTCTGCACGCTCTGCCCAGGCGTCACCCCTTCACCTAAAACAAACAGTATTCCCAATAGGTGTGAACATGTCTGACACACAAGTGAAGCTAATCGTGTCCAAAAAAAGGGACTACAAATATTTCCTAAAAAGCAAATATATCTCTTTCATGCTCCATAAGAAAAATTTTGAAAAAATATTGGATGAAGCATCACATCAGAAGTCAACAGACAAATGCATGGTGACGTGATGAACACAACGTACACACCTCTCTCCTGGTCGCAGTCTGGAGAGGAAGCTCCACTGCACTGGCTGCGAGGGCCAAGGAGAGGTGAGGCATGCCCAGAACCGCACACCGAGTCTGAGTCATGAGAGCTGCTGGGGCTCACTGACTCCAGGCTCCCAGGACAGGAAGACGAGGAGGGGACAGTGGAAGAGGTGGAGATGTAAGAGAAGGGGTAAGGGCTGGGCATGTCGAGGGGGGTGGAGGTGGAGGTGGAAGGATGGGAGGAGGAAGAGGACGCTGACGAGGGCAGGGCTTCTGGTGAGGAGGTGTCAGTCTCCTCCTCTGAGCTGCTGCTGTGACTGCCCTCTTCGTCAATTGACACTGACACCACTGAAACACACACACACACGCACACACATATATGAACTTTAAACATGCACACACATACATGCACCAACATGACAAGACATAACAAAAATGTGGACGGATGAAATGAGTGCCGAGCTTTGGTTACACTCACTTGACAGGCCGTCTGACTCCATCTTGAAGTTGGCGATGTCCTCGTTACCTCCATCTCCCTCCGCGCCCACACCCTGCTCCCTGGTTCCCATGGCGAGGGAGCGTCGCTGGGCATGTATCTCCTCTGAGATGCTCTCAAGGTTACGTAGCGCTTCGCGGTACTCGGCCTTCGCAACCACAAGTTTGGCCTGATGCTCGTCGACGTGACGTTTTAGTTGCTATGAGAAATCAAACACAAAATCTTAATAAAACTAGAAGGTATCTACTAAATGGCAAATGCTATGCATCTAAAATCACATCTTTTATACAAACAGTACATACAGTACCTCAAGCTGTAGATAGTACTTGGCTTTCAGTTCAAAATATGGTCTGCAGGGGAGAAAAAGAAGAAAAACTGAGAGAGAGGGCATGAGAAACTGCCTGAAGAATAACACTCCTCAATGAGCAGCCACATTCCTTGGCTCTTACAAATGGAGCACACCCCAGCACTGCGCAACCAACACATGAAACATCTGGATTGCATTAG